AAGATGAGTTGTGTTTACTGTTTTCTTAATTGCACAGTATATAAGTGATTGTATAAAATGAAAATGAAATAAAATAAGAGATATACATGAATCTCCTTGTGTGTGTGTTTATGCCTTAAAATACTCTAATTATAAGCTGCCCAGTGTTGTTTGGAGTCAGGCAGCCTATAAATTATATTTATGCATGTATCTCTCTCTCCCTATAGTGTTCTAGACGCCTATGACAATATTTACTATGACAATAAACCTACAAGATTCTTAATATTAATCCCTACATAACTGTTTTCAAGGCAACACAGATCAACTTAAGAAATGCCAAATTCTGTGTCAGACACAGAGCACTAAAAGTGCCTGGCTCACTTGTTGTGGAATAATCAATGAATCCATGGACAAAAGGCAGATGATTTAAGAGAACATAATTCGTCCAGTTCATGGTAGCCAATTCAAAACTCATATATAACTAATTATTCTGTGAAATTAAAAAAAAACCCAGATGCACAGAAATACACTTTTCCGTGCTCTCAGCCATCTCCTCACTTCTTTCTCTTTGGTTTTCTCTAAATTCTCCTTTCTATTGGCTATCCTCTCCCCACCAGCACATACTCATCCCCTGCAGCTTCCATTCTCACTCAGCTGGTTAGGTTGGTCTCCATCATCTCTGCTCAGCCTTGATTGCATGGGCCAAACAACCTGAAATGAGATGCAGAGGATGTAGCTCACTCAGGTTGCTGCCACCATAATTCATTGGTCTTCCAAAGTCTTGGCCAGAGATGAAGCTAGAGCTAACATCAGCTAGGTAAATACACCATGCTATGCTGTAGTTTGCTAAGATAATAGTAATAATATTTTGCCAGATGCCACAATTAAGTTAAGTTCACACATTCCACTAAGCTCAAAGAAGCAAAATATATTATGAATAAGCATGATATATGGACCAAATCAAATTATGTTAGCTAGCCTAAACATAGTTTAGACTAGGGGTCGGAAACTTTAAACAATCAAAGAGCTGCAAAGGTCCTAACTGGAAGCCCCCCGTTCAATTTTGGAGACAAACGGAAGTCTGGTTTCTCCACCACAGAGTCTCCTTCCAGCATGGCATCCTTTTCCCCCTACTTGTTCTAACCAAAAGACCTATCAATTGTGGATCTGACGGGCAACAAAGAGCTGCAGCAGAGGGATGAAAGAGCCACATGTGGCTCCAGAACCGCGGGTTGCCATCTCCTGGTTTAGACTGTCTGGCACACTGCTATACCTACTTTGCCTCCTCTTGATTCCTTTTCAAATGCTCCTCATGCCACTCCAGGCTCCCCCTGACTGGACCAATTGCAATTGTCACATTGCTTAAAAGAGGAAGAGGTGAAGTTCTTCTGGCATATTAGGAGGCAGAATGGTGTGTCATTCCTTCCCTAATTATTGATGCCTCTAGTTCACAGTCATTGAATTGTAAGGACTTACAAGCTGAAGTTATGCAACTTAGAATCAAATGCAAACAAATAAAAGGGGTGATGGTTATTCTCAACATATTGTACTCTGGAGAACATGAAGTTCTTTTGCAGTGAGCCCAGACAAGTCAGGGCAGATATGACTGTAAGGACAAACAAGCCGTAAGGGCGCTATTAAAGATGGTGGCTTGAATGATAGTAAATGGCTTATTGCCTTTCTTGGGCAATTGGGACATGGTAGCAAATAATGGCTACATTCCAACAAGCTGAATATACTGGGAGTTTTGGGATGTATTAACCTCTGTGATTAAGGATGCTACCATTATTGGCTTGTTTCCTCCTGAGAGAAGAGCTTTATGAGATAATTAGCTGTGACAATTTGGCTGAAACGAATCCATTAAATTATAGGAAAGACTAAGCAATTGCCTTCTGAGGAGGCATGGAGTAATCCAAAGTATTAGTTGCTGGACAAGAACAACAGTAACAAAAAATGAATTGCTGTTTAAATATTTGGGAAAGATTAACCATTTGTTGGCAGAGTTTAGGGTACCATAAGTTCAGAAAAGAATATGAAGATGTTCAACTAATCAGTTTCCAGAGGCCCTTCTCCATCTATGTTCATATGTTTCCAGTGATTAGATGGGTAACTAGAAGAGATATAACTGAACACTTTTAGCTGCCTACCTTGATTGATATTTTATAGTATTTTTGCTAGAACTAACAAGCTATTTGTCTTTTGAAATTCTAGCAAAGCACAGATCCTTTACACATTTTTTTAAAAAAAGATATTAATCCTCAGACATTGAATTCTGAGCACAGAACAATACTTAATGAGCATAAGCTCGAATGCTTATGTAGTCAATAATCTAGAATAATGCAACAGTGCCAAAATTATTCCTACGTGCTTATTATGCTCTTGAATATTTCTAGTTTGCCTGAAAGTAGCTGCTTGAGAATAATTTTTTTTTTCAATCTTACCATTGCAGAGTTGCTGGGGTAGAGTGTGGTTTGGATGCTCTGTTATTCTCTTTCTCCTCATCTGTTGAGGAAAAAACACTATTAGGGGGCATTCTTTCAGCTGAGGTACTTGAAGGACATGAGAAAATCCCACTGTTGAGAATATTCTCTAATTCCCCAGAAACAAGCTTGAAATATGCAAAAAATACTTGAAGATTATGAGAATTGGAATGATTGTTTAAGTAATTGCCAGGCTGTACAATCTGATGCCTGTTCCCATGAATACCTTCTTTGGAACTTGAAGGAAATAAATGTTTCCATCTCATCCAGCCTTTCACATCCTTTCACTGTGTTGGGTCATTAATCTACCTTCCCTGTTTAGAGACTCAAACTTGGAGAAAAGGTACATCAGGACTTTCTACAAATAGTAAAATGCACCTCTTACAAGCTCCATGGATATGTTGCACCTTTCTTATTCTCTTTATTGCAGTTGTGACTATTTGAAAATAACATTAGAATCTGAAGGTTTTATTATACAGTAGACCAGGCATTACAATAGACATTTCTTTCCACCTTCCTTCTCTTGCTGCCTCAAAACCAAATATTGAAGAATATGTCTAAACGGTTCTAAAGAATGAGCAGCCATTCCTACATTCAGTTTTCTGCTAGGGGTGTTATTATGGAGGGCACATGCAGGATAGCATTGTTCTACTTATTTTTTAAGAGCTGTTGTAATGATGCTATTCTTGGGAACAAGGGGTATTCAGGTTTTCTTTGCCCAGGAAGAAAACATAATTCTGACATTGTTTTGAGATTGTCTACTAGTGGACTAGCATATAAGGGCTGTGACTGACCTCGGGTGGGTGGGAGCTGTCTGACTGGGGATGTGTGGCCAATTGAGTGGGAGTGGCCAGCTTGACACCACTCCTCAAACTGCTGGCATGTTTCCTCTTTGCATTAGGTAAACCAGGCCGAAGCCATGCTGGCCTGATCTTTCCTCTTCACATTGGGTGGACTGGTCTGAAGCTACATTGGCCCGATCTTTCATCTTCACATTGGGTGGACCAGGACAGCCCTGCGGGCTGGATCCTAACCAGCCTTGAGTTTGACACCCCTGAATAAACAGTTGGACAATGAGGAATATAATCAAGCAGAGGTTGAATGACAGACCAATGGCCTGATTCTGTGGGTTCAACTCTTTTTTAGAAGATGAAGAGTGAGGTGAGCAACCCTACCTGGCAAAAACCATGTGGGACACATGGACTGGTCTGGGGAAGTATTAGTTCTCCTCCTGAGACTTACCAATTCAGAAGATTTCTCTTGATGAACAATAAGTAGTCCTTCCTCAGGTCAGTTCTATGGTGAGAGACATGGCACTGAAGTAGAACAATGCTGTTACCTGGTACTGATTGATGTATTTGATCCCCTTCCTTCATGGGTGGTTTCTCTTTCCCATTCACAGACATTGAGGAGACAAGAGTAGTCTCATCTGCTTGAGGCTTTCACATTAATCTCTTTCAAAAGAGAACTATCTAGGTTAAAATCTTTACAGAGGCCGGTGTCTGCAACTTGGTTCCCCGAGCTAGGATTGCTGTGAATTCAGTGATATCACAAAGGCTAGGAGATTGACATCAGGTTAACCCAGGGGTGTCAAACCCACATGGTCATGGCGTGGGCACGTGACGTATCAGGTATATTCCCCCCTTCGCTAAACCTGGCATGGGCGTGGCCAGTGTGTGACACATCCGGTCCAAGGGCCAGGAATTTGACAGCCCTGGGTTAACAGATATGAGTTAAAGTGCACCGAACCACCTCATAGGTAGCTTTAATATCACCTAGGTTGGCCAGTAAACTTAGCCTATTGGCTATTTATGATCAGTGTAAAACAAGCAAACAAATCATGAGAAAATAATTAAATTACATACAGCTGAATCTGCCTAATCTCTTTACAAATTCATTTAAGCTATTGGCTATTATCATCTTCTGTGAAACATTACTCATTTAAAGAGGTAAGGCATTTATGTTACTATACTACTGCTACTACTATTATTATATTTCAATGCCTACATTTTGAAGCCCAAATCACTGAAGCTTTTCTGTAAGCAAACTTGTTCTTCATTGTATATTGCTGCTTGAGAAATTCATGCTCATAATTATATTAGAGAAGTTAAAATAGGAACTTGTTATGTGCAACTCCATATTTTACAATGCTAATCAGTCTGGTTAAGGTTTTTTTACATTTTTATCCTGCCCACTAAAAAATTCATACTTAATATAGTAGCAAAATAACTAAGAAAATAAATTATACACTGAAATAATTGTTGTTACAATCTTCTACTATAATTCAATAGTGGTGTTTTTTTCAGAACAGGGAAAATGTTCATTAATATCTTAAGATGAAATACTGAGCATAATTACCATATTTTTCAGAGTATAAGACACACCAGAATATAAGATGCAACAAGGTTTTGAAGAATCAATTTTTTTTTTAAAAAAAAAGTAGGCAGGTAGATAGAGGGATAGAGATGGAGAGAAAGAGAGAGAAATATAGTAGGTAGGTAGGGAGAGAGAGAGAGAGAGAGTAGTTAGGTAGGTAGATAGATAAGGGGTTAGAGAAAGAGAGAGAAATATAGTAGGTAGGTAGGGAGAGAGAGAGAGAGAGAGTAGTTAGGTAGGTAGATAGATAAGGGGTTAG